AAAAAAAAAAAAAAAAAAGAAAGAAAAAGAAAAAAAGAAAATGTAAGCAATAAACACTCAAAACTAATAGGATTAAATCCAACCCCGTTAGTACTCACAGGGGAAAGTGTTCCAAAGGCAGACAAGTTGAATGCTGGTTTTTTTGAGCTGGTGGCAGTGTGCTGTGAGAGTGAGTGAGAACGTTCACCTTCTGGGGACCACAGAGGTGGCAATGAAGTGTTCTTTGAAACAGCTATATCTAAAACAAAATTACATAATCCATAGTAATAACACCAATACAAGATCCTAGATTTTTATAAATACAAAATAAAAATTACAACTCAGGAAAAAAAAAAAAAAAACCATAAAATTTAATTTACTGCCCAAATTATGTACTACCACGTCAAGAATACCTTTATCAGAAGCTCTTGAAGAAAAACCACTGGTAGTTGAGATGTTATCATCATCATGCTGCGAGGTAGAATCTTTAATTTCCTTTACAAGGGAAAATCCTGAACTGCCAATTGGGAATGCCGAGGATGTAGATGGCTGACAATGTAATGCAGGGGATTCCAACATGGAGAAATTCAGATGACTCCGATGAAGAGAAGGCCTTGTTAACACATCTGGATAATTTGAAGCAGTACTAGTTGTTGAAGGTTCTTAAAAGAAAGCATTAATATTATGAATATACAACTTAGAGCAATACACTACCACAACAAAAATGGTTTTTACTTTAAGAAAACAAACTACAGTATATAACAGCTTCAACTCAAATCACTAAGGCCTCCCATAAGCCCAATGTAACATGGTTCTAGGCAAAACAAAGTTTCAACTAACTAAAATTAATTTACCTTGCGTCAAAATATAGCTCAGAAATCACATACAACTTGAACAGTGACTATACGACCTGCCCATAGAAGAATAAAAGCCACATAAGCAAACTCGTAAAATAGGCATAAGTCTGTCCTTCCAGATATAACCCCTAATTAATGTGTATATCCTCCCAGATATTCTGTATGCATATTTTCCCTAAAACAATCATGTTATGCATCCTGCTCTGTGATTTGTTTCTTCATTTACCAAAACAGTCTTGTTTCTACAGAGCATTCCTTTTAAAAACACTGTATCAGGCACAGAGGCACACATCTATAATCCCAGCTATTTGGGAAGCTGAGGCAAGATCACTTGAGCCAAGGAGGTCAAGGCTGTAGCGCAATATGATCACATCTGTGAACAGCCACTGCATTCCAGCCCAGGAAACACAGTGAAATGCTTTCTCTTAAAGAAACAAAACTGCATTGTATTCTATTATATCTTTGTAAATATTTATTCAATTGTTTTTCCAATACCCCATCAAATATACATGCACTGTCATGTGCATACTTTTAAGAATATTCTTTCAGAGAAATACATAGTTCTCCATTTTATGTATGAGAATCATGAGGAGAAAAGTAAACAAATATTTCTGAGCTATCCACAAAAAATATAATTCAGTACATGTGAAGTTGAGCCCATAAATGAGCTAAAGCAGTTATATGTGGAATTGCTCTGTCACAGCCAAACTGCATGTTCATTTTTGCTTATGACAGATATTAAATTGTGATTCAATGGATTTCCTGACCAAGTTATATTCCAGATGACAAAAGACATTTCTCCCACAATCTCCAACACTGGGTATTAACCTTTTCTGATTTCTATTCAATCTAATATGCCAAATGACATCACTGTTTTTTATTTGCATGTATTTAAGAGGGGTTTTGAGCATCCTTCCCTATATGCATTGGTCATTTACATTTCTGTTATTGATGTAGTCTCTCTTAATAAAATTAATAAGAGCTAATTTTTTTAAACTAGTAAGAGCGATGTGATACGATAAAATAGTTGTTTTTCTCCAGTTTTCTGATGGCGTATTTTGTAACACAGAAAATAACTTGTACCTTATTTAGAGTCTTATCATTCTGAGACTATAAAAAATAAAAAAATAACTTTTACCCACATTTTGATAGTTGCTTTTATTTCAATGTCTCATCTTGACTCCCATCTGACACTAGTTACAAGGCAGGAGTAAAGGAGGGATTCAGCTTCACTGTTTTCCAAATGGTTAGCCTGTTTATAACCTAAGGTAATCTTTTAAATAAGCCACCCTTTCCTCAATCATTGAGAAGCCACTGTTACCACATGCTAAATCATACTAAAACCACACTAGCATACTCAATGATAGAAGACTGAAAGATTTTTCTCTAAGACCAGAGGCAAAGCTTCTCACTTTTCCCACTTCTATTCAACATAGTATGGTAAGTTCCAGTCCAAGCATTAAGAGAAAAGAAATAAATAAATGACATCTAAATTTGAAAGGAAAGAGTAAAAAATCATGTTTGCAGACGATAAAATCTTACACGTAAATAACAGTAAAGATTCAGGCAAAAAAGCTGTTAGAACAAATTTAGCCAAGTATAGGATACAAAAATCAACACCAAAATAATTGTTTCTATGCACTAACAATGAACAATCTGAAAAGTAAATTAAGAAAACAATTTATAGTAGCACTAAAAAGAGTAAAAGATTTAGGAATGAACCAAGGTAAAAGATGTGCACGTGGAAACTACAAAATAGTACTAAAAGAAATTAAAGAAAACATAAATAAATGGAAAAATATCCCATGTACATGGACTAGAAGACTAAATATTATTAGTATGTCAATACTATTCAAAGCAATCTACAGATTCAATATAATCTCTATCTAAATCCCAAAGACATTTTTTGCAGAAATAGAAAACCCATGCTAAAATTCATGTGGAATCTCAAAGAACCTCAAAATGCCAAAATAATATTTAAAAAGGACAACAAAGTGGGAGGTCTCATGCTTTCTTATTTTAAAACTTATTACAGAAGTGCAGTAATAAAAACAATATGGCACTGGTGAAACAGAACAGGAGGTGGGATGCAGTTTCTCCTTCATATATTTTCTTTTCTTCTTCTCTTCACAAAACCCACAAGGCTACCTCGCTGATGTCACACTATACTAACCCTGAGGCTTTAGTCACACAAAGAAAACAGCCAGTCTTCTGAGCTCTTATAATGTTTAACTGTACCTTTTCAAGAATTCCAGGAATTGGTCTTAGGAGATCCAAAATCAAACCAAGGTTGCAGAGAGTCCACCTCAGGAAGGAATGCTAAATAACTGATTTACAGCATTTGTGGCCACCGGCCAAACCATTAGGTGGTCCATTACTCAAGATAATCATCGCAACCAGATATGCTGCCTTGCATACCCTACCCTGCAGGTGCTCTGCCCAGCCCAGCCTGCATACCTTATCCCGGATGTCAATTCCTGAGCTTTGCCTAATTAAAAAAAATTCCTACTGACTTTTTCCAGGAAGCCAGGAAGAGGACCCTTGAGCCTCATCCTCACTGTCTCCCTTGTGCTCAAGCACAAGCCCTGAAATATAAGACCTGTCTGGGAAATCTGCTTGGCTCCATGTTAATTTCTATTACATGGAGAACCAAAGAGCCTGTGGTCGGCAATAGTACCATAAAGACAGACAATATAGACCATGGAAGTGAATACAGGGCCCAGAGATAAACTATCTTATGTGATCAAACGATCTTCAACAAGGATTTCAAGACTACTCAATAGGGAAAGGACAATCTCTTCATTAAATTGTTTTGGAAAACTGGATATCCACATGGAAAAGAATGAACCCTTATCTTGAATGACATATAAAAATTAAATGGATTAAAGATCAAAATGTAACACCCAAAACTAAAAAACTTCTAGAATAAAACAATTTCAGGACATGAGATTTGATAATGATTTATTAGATATGACACTAAAAGCGCAGCCCACAGAAGCAAAAATAGACAAACAGGACTATATCAAGCACAAAAACTTGTATGCATTAAAGGATGTAATCAACAGAGAAAAAAGGCAATCTACAGGATGGGAGAAAATATCCTCAAATCATATATGTGATACTGGATTCATATTCAAAACATAAAAAGAACTCCAAATCCCAGTTAAAATGGCTTTTATCAAAAAGGCAGTAACGGATACTGGTAAGGATGTGGAGAAAGGAAAATCCTTGTACACTGTTGTTGGTGGGAATGTCAATTTAGTACAGCCATTACGGAGAACATCACTGAGGTTTTTCACAAAAACTAAAAATAGAACCACAGTATGACCCAACAACCCCATTGCTGGGTATATATCCAAGATAAAGGAAACTAGTATATCAAAGAGATAATCTGCATTCCCATGTTTATTGCAGCACTATTCACAATAGCCAAGATACGGAATTAACCTAAGTATCCGTCCACAAATAGGACAAAAACTGTGCTACATATACACAATGGAGTATTATTCAGCCATAAAAAAAAAAAAAAAAAAAAGAACTGAACCCCGTCATTTGCAACAATATAGATAGAACTGGAGGACATCACATTAAGTGAAATAAATCAGGCACAAAAAGACAAATATCATGCTCTCAAATGTGGCAGCTAAAAACAAAGGACTCAGGCCAGGCACAGTGGCTCACGCCTGTAATCCCAGCACCGTGGGAGGCCAAGGCGGGCGGACCACCTGAGGTCAGGAGTTCAAGACCAGCCTGGCCAACATGGTGAAACCCTGTCTCAATTTTTTTAAAAAAACGAAGGACTCAAAGGAACTCATGGAGACAGATAATAGAATGATGGTTACCAGAGGACAGAAGGATGGTGGGGAAGGGGGGATAAACAGAGGACACAAAAATACAGTTAGGAGGAGTAATAGCTAGTGTTTGGTAGCATACAGTATAGCAAATATAACTAATTCATTGTCCATTTCAAAATAGCTAATGAGAGTGGAATTAGAATGTTGCTAACACAAATAATAAATTCTCGGAGTGATGGATATCCCAATTATACTGATTTAATCAGTACACACTGTATGTTTATATCAAAATATTACATGTACTCTCTATATATGTACAAATATTATACATCCATAAAAAAAAAAAAAAAAAGGTAAATCTAAGCAAAAAATAAAAAAGAATTCCTACAACCCCTTCCCCCCCAAAAAAGAACCTGGTTAAAAAGTGGGCAAAGAACAAAAGTAAGCATTTCTCTAAGATTGCAGACAAATGGCCAAAAAGTATATGAAAAGATGCTCAACATCACTAATCATCATAAAAATGCAAATTAAAACCACAATGAGATAACATTTCATACCATTAGGAAAGCTACTAACAGGAAAAGGGAAAATAAATGCTGGCAAGGATGTGAAGAAATTGTACACTGTCAGTAGGAATATAAAACAGTGCAGCCACTACAGAAAAAGTGATTTCTCAAAAAGTTAAGGACACAATTTCCTTATAATCTAGCGATTCCACTCTGGGTATATACCCAAAAGAATTGAAAGCAAGGTCTCAAAGACATCTGCAGACTCATTTTCACAGCAGCATCATTCACAAGAGCCAACAGGTAGATGCAATCCAAATGTGATATATCCATCCAATATAATATTATTCTGCCTCAAAAAGGAAACTGTGACACGTCACAACATGAAGAACCTTGAAGACACTATGCTAAGTGAAATAAGCCAATAACAAAGACAAGCAACTGTATGATTCATTAGCATGAGGTACTTAACAGAGACAGTACTATAGAACTGTGGCTGGCAAGG